CCCGGTCCGGTGCGGGGGCAACACTGAGGGTTGCGATCCGTTGCTGGACACGGAAAAAGACCAAAAAAAAAAGTTAATTAAATTAAAAATTACATTCCCTTAAATTGATTGTGATGGTGAAAATAGATATCTCAGTCTTTTTGAGATTATAACTCATCTCTAAAGTGACTAAGCCCAGATACAATAGCCTTTGTAAAGTTTATTGCCACTGTGTTTAGTACTTTTACAGACATTTTCTTATTTAATAAACTTTGAAAGAAAAATCAGCCATTATTTAGTCTTCGCAACAATTTTGCAAAAGGATATATATGTACACATGTATATATGTGTTAGTTTCTGATTGCTGCTGTGGCAAATACCACAAAACTAGTGGCTTGAAGCAACAGAAATTTTTTCTCTTACAAGTTTGGAGGCCAGAAGTTCAAAATGAGTTTGACTTGGCTAAAACAGATATTAGGAGGGCTACATTCCCTAGGGAAGCTATAGGAAAAAATCTGTTTCCTTGCCTTTTCCAACTTCTAATGATGCATTTCTTGCATTACATGCTTATGGCCCCTTCCTCCATTTTCAAAGCTAGTAGCCACATAAACTTTTGCTCTTCTGAAGTAAAATCTCCCTCTGCCTCACTCTTATAAGGACATTTGTGTTTACAATTATGGCCTTCCTGGGTAATCCAGGACACTCTCCCAATCTCAAAATTCTCAATCACATATTCAAAGTTGCTTTTGCCATACAATTTAACATTCACAGGTTTCAGGGATTAGGATGTGGATATTTTGGGGGGACCATTTTTCAGTCTACCACAAAATTTATTTTATCTGTCTATTTATCTAATCTATCTTTGCCAAAATGGAATACAGAGTACTGCCAAAAGTTATATAAATACAAAACATGTTAGAAACATGCACAATGTGAAAAGAAGTTGAACAGATATGTCGATAATATAAGCAAAAGATCTTGGGGTGGTTCTGCTATGTTCCAACATATTGTATTATTGACTGATATTTTTTTATTGCTGATAGAAATGAATAGAATGTTAAATTTTTTGAATATATTTCATCTTCCACTCTTGTCTTTCCCTATAAAAAGCAATGCTTAGCAATATAAAGTCATAAATTCATAAGTTGAAAAACAGATTTAGATAGCCTGATATTCTGATTCATTTAGAAATATTTTGTATTATTTGAACATGTCCACATTCATATATCCAAATACATGCTTCTGTATTCCCTTTAAGCCTTTTCTTCACCCTCTCCTTCACCTTTGTTATTCTCAAGACTAGAGAAAAATTGACCACTTTGCCACTGGTGGTGGTACTCTAAGTAATAGGATGAGAGTTTTTAGGAAACAGCTGTAAAGGTTTCTTGACTCTTACAACATCGTAGATCTGTGGGCTAGATTATTTTTTTCTGTTTTTTTTTTTTCCCCTTCATCATCATTACAATGTTTATGGTTAATCCAATACCTTGGAAAAGAAAATTTGCTTTTGTCCGTCTTTTGTGCTACTTGGTTCAATGACTTGTAGAGTTACTGATAAATATGCTTTAACAAAGTGAGCATGTATTTTCTTGAATGATTTAAAAGCTAAATGTTAAAATTTTCTTTCTCAAATTGTAGGATACCAGAAGGCCCCATCGATCAGGGGCCAGCTACAGGAAGGATACGTGTTTTAGAAGAGCAGCTTGTTAAGGCCAAAGAACAGATTGAAAATTACAAGAAACAAACCAGAAATGGTAGGTGATTATACCAAGTTTTCCCCCCTCAATATATTGGCTTTAGCAAAAATAACTGAAAATTTCCTTTTTTCAAAATGTTGGAAATGCTGCTACTCTCTTTGACTGCAGGTCTGGGGAAGGATCATGAAATCCTAAGAAGGAGGATTGAAAATGGAGCTAAAGAGCTCTGGTTTTTTCTACAGAGTGAATTGAAGAAATTAAAGAATTTAGAAGGAAATGAACTCCAAAGACATGCAGATGAATTTCTTTTGGATTTAGGACATCATGAAAGGTACTATTCTCCTTTTATATTTTATTTGGGCTTTAGTAAAGATTATAATCTAAGAATGGGAAACTGAAACTTTTGTTAATTTTCCTGCCGAGTGGTAAATGATACTGTTGAGCTAGGGCTGGGTCTGGAGCTCACAGACCCCTCAAGCCTGTTCAGAAACTGGGTAACAAACCCTTCACATGCAGGTCTCTGGGCTAGGTAACAGGCAAAAAGGTCCGTAGAGCCATAGGTTTGTAGGTTCGAGAGTATGGCCCGCACACGGAGCGGAGGCCCAAGGCAGTCAACACCAGCCAGGTGGTGGCTCCGCGAATGCGCACTAATTCCACCCACACACAACTTGTTTTTGAAGAATGCATGGTACCACCTCCAACTGGACCTAAGGCAAGGGGGCCTGATTAAATTATTCTGTTTTCCCAACAGATAACTTTCATGTTTAAGAGCAGGAGAGTACCTGAGGTCTCAAAGGACAATTGCCAAATGGAGTTCATCAACCAAAATATATCACTGGAAAATATTATTTAAAATGTATTTCTAGAAATCTTTATACTCTAAGTAAACTCTGAAGGTAGCAGTGTCAGCCAACAAAACATTAAAATATCCTCCTACAAATTTCCTTCATATACAATCAGTATTTGAAGTGGAGCATGCAGTTTTGCATTGTTTTACATTGAAACTCCTACTCAGGCTGGCAGTTATGTTTCTAATGTAAACATTAAAATCCTTAAAATAGCATCTTTTTAGGATTCCTGATTAAAGGTTAACAAATTTTTGAGAAACGGGAGAATTCTGTTAATTGCTCTTCCATTTAGTTACTAGAAAGAGGAACCTAAGTCTGCCTAAATTTGTTCCTGCTATTTGTACATTTCTAAATAATATGCAGTTTATTTTCCATAGAAAAGAAAATATTTTGGTGCTGGGGTGTTCATGCAGAACAAAATGTATCTGAGAGTCATAAATACAGTGAAATCTGTCCTTAGACCTATAATATTTAAAAGTCTATGTTCCCAGTAGGATTTTGATGGCCATTACTGTCTCATTAGTGAATAGTAAAAGTAAAATTGTTGTATTAACACAACCTACCACGGTGAAGAGGAAAAGAATTACTCCATACAAACAAGAGATTCATATATTAACATCATCAAAAATATTATAATGATTTGGAAAATTACTCTGCTTTAGTTTTAAGTGAAATTACAAATAAAATCTATCAGTTTATTAGAATCACTTTAACATTAATGAATCCACAGCAATATGATAGCGTGGATTTCAGGGGGCATTGAATTATTAAGGCACATATTAGGCAGTCTCTTTGAAACATTTAGCCCAGCTTGCAGTCAGGCTGTACTTAGACCTTTAGACCAAATGCAGTGTAATTCTGTACTTAATGCTTCTCTACCGTAAAGCTGATTCCACACAAGATTCTGTTAGATAGAGCTTGTGTGCTTTACTTATCACAGTTTTGTAAGAAAATGTAGATCTGAAGAGGATTTGACTTGGATATACTATATGGTATGTAAAGGAGAATTTTGGCTATTGACTTCTTGTGGAATGTTTAATTTTAAGGTTTGAGATTTAATTCAATTACTTGAGAATTTAATTTTAAGGTCTTTTCTAAATTAAAATAATTCTTTAAATATAATAAAAGGGCCACTGAAAAACTGATGTAGGTCAGTGTTAACATTTTTTGTTAAACTCTATTTTAAATGTATTATGATTTTTGACACTGCCATTTAGTATATGTTAAATAATAATACTTCACTGAAAACAAAAATGGAATGTAAAGGTACCCAAATCAGTTTATTTTGCTGTCTTAAGCAGAAATTATAATGAATGTGGGATACAACTTCATAGGGTAGGAATTTAACTCCAGGATGCCAGATTAGAATGCAGCAATATAAATAATGAGAAAAACACAATCAGGGGCCGGCCTGGTGGCACACTGCTACAGTGCACCGCTTGGGAGTGTGGTGGCGCTCCCGCCGAGGGTTCGGATCCCACATACAGACCAGTTCCCGCTCACTGGCTGAGCGAGGTGCGGGTGCGACACTGAGGGTTGCGATCCCGTTGCCGGTTCTGGTCTGGTACGGGTGCGACACTGAGGGTTGCGATCCGTTGCCAGACACGAAAAAAGACAAAAAGGGAAAAAAAAAACAAAACACAATCAAACATTAGAGAAATAACCTTTAAAGTAGTAAATGTACAAATAGAAAAGATTGGTATTATATAGACAGTACCCACTTGCTGACCATTTTCAAGATCCTTAAGTATAAGAATTAAAATTAAAAAAAACTTTTATGTTTGCCTCTAGCGATTTTTATATGACACAAAAATTGCCATTTCATTTTTACATTTGCTCAAAGGATAGTGTATAAGTTTTCTCAGGACTGAAAGCCTTTATTTTCTGAAAAATCAGAAGTTGAGTCTGTCAATTTTCTTATTTTGACTTTTCTACAAACCACTTTTAATTTTTGGTTCAGAGAGTCATCAATTATAGGGAAAAACGCCTCTGTGTTTTTGTTTCTTCAGAAGGGGTTTCTGTCTTTCTTTCTTGGGGACATTTTTATTTTCCAGCTTTATTGAGGTATAGGAAATAAAAATTATATACATTCAAGGTGAACAGTGTGACGATTTGATATACATATACATCGTATAATGATTGCCATAATCAAATTAGTGAACACATAGTTATCATTTTTGTAAGTGTGTGAGATGAGGACACTTAGGATCTCCTTTTTAGCAAATTTCAAGAAAACAATACAGTATTATTAACTGTGGTCACCATATTGTACATTAGATTCCCGGAACTTATTCATATTATAACTGAAAGTTTGTACTCTTTGACCACCATCTCCCCAATTTTCCCTACCCCCCAGCCTGTGGCAATCACTCTTCTACTCTCTGATGCTATGTGTCTGAAGTTTTTAGATTTCACACGTGAGATCATGCAGTATTTGTCTTTCTCTGTCTGACTTATTACACTTATAATAATATCCTTTAGGTTTATTCATGTCTTCACAAGTGACAGGATTTCCTTCTTTTTGTGGCTGAATAATGTTTATCTATATAATGCAGATACCTGTTTGTGATACTGATTTCATTTCCGTTGGATATATACCCAGTGGGATTGCTAGATCGTATGGTAGTTTTGTTTTTAATTTTTTGAGGAACCTCCATACTGTTTCCCATAATGACTATACCAATTTACATTCCCAAGAACACTATACAAGTGTTCCTTTTTCTCTGCACCCCCTCCAACACTTCTTACCTCGTCTTTTTTATAATAATTGTCCTAACAGGTGTGAGATGATATCTTATTGTGGTTTTGATTTGCATTTCCCTGATGTTGAGCACCTTTTCATATACCTATTGGTTATTTATATGTCTTCTCTAGAAAAATGTCTACTCAGGTCTTTTTCCAATTTTTTAATCAGATTTTTTTTTTTTTTGCTATGAGTTCCTTTTGTATGTTGGATATAACCTTTATCAGATATGTGGTTTGCAAATATTTTCTCCTGTTCCTTAGTTTGCCTTTTTATTTTGTTGATTGTTTCCTTTTCTGTGCAGAAGCTTTTTTGTTTGACAAAATCCTACTTGTTTAGTTGTGCTTTTGGTGTCATACTGAAAAAAATCATTGTCATAACAAATGTCATGGAGCTTTTCCCCTATGTTTTCTTCTAGGAGTTTTACAGTTTCCAGTCTTACGTGGATTAAATTTTTAATTCATTTTGAGTTAATTTTGTATATGGTGTAAGACATAAAAAATACAATGAATATCCAATTTCATTCTTTTACATGTAGATATCCAGTTTATCCAGCACCATTTATCGAAGATAGTATGCTTTCCCCCATTTTGTATTCCTGGCACCCTTGTCAAAGATTAGTTGACTGTATGTGTGTGGTTTTATTTCTGTGCTCTCTGTTCTATTTCATTCGTCTGTGTGTCTGCTTTTATACCAGCATCATACTGTTATGATTACTATAGTTTTGTCATATAGTTTGAAATCATGCTTCCAAGTTTATTTTTCTTTCTCAAGATTGCTTTGGGTATTTGAGGTCTTTCGTAGTTCCATATAAATTTTACAATTGTTTTTTCTATTTCTGTGAAAAATGCCATTGGATTTTGATAGGCATTGCATTGAATCTGTAGATCACTTTGGGTAGTATGAACATTTAAAAAATATTAATTCCTTTGATTCATAAACACAGATATCTTTCTATTTGTGTCTTCAGTTTTTCACATCTAGTCTTATAGATCAATGTACAGATCTTTCACCTTCTTGGTTAAATTTATTCCTAAATGTTTTATTCTTTTTGATGCTATTGTAAATGGGATTATTTACTTAATTTCTTTTTTGATGCTATTGTAAATGGGATTATTTACTTAATTTCTTTTTCAGATAGTTCATTGTTAGTATATGGAAATGCAACTGATGTTTATATGTTGATTTTGTGTTCCACAACTTTACTGAATTCTTGTATCAGTTCTAATTGTTTTTTAGTGGAGTCTAGGGTTTTCTATGTATAAGATCATGTCATCTGTGAACAGAGACAATCTAATTTCTTCTTTTCTGATTTAGATGCCTTTTATTTCCTTTTATTTCCTGATTTTTCTGCCAGTAATCTTATGGAGTGTCCCTTGTATGTGACAAGTTTCTTTTCTCTTGCTGCTTTTAAGATTTTCTCTTTGACTTTGGACAATATGATTATAAAGTGTCTTGAGTATTCTTTGGCTTGATCTTGTAGGGGTCCTTTGAGCTTCATGAATGTAGATGTCCACATCTCTCCTTAGATTTGGCACGTTTTTAGCTGTTATTTCTTTTTTTTTTTTTTTCCGTTTCTTTCGTGACCGGTAAGGGGATTGCAACCCTTGGCGTGGTGTCGCCCACACCGCACTCAGCCAGTGAGCGCACCAGCCATCCCTATATAGGATCTGAACCCGTGGCAGGAGCACCGCTGCGCTCCCAGCGCCGCACTCTCCCGAGTGAGCCATGGGGCCGGCC